TAAATCCATAACAGTAGTTTAACTGAGGCAGAGTTCTACTGGTTCATCTCCAAAGGAATTGTGCAAAATAGGGGTATCTTGAAGAGGGACATGTTCTGTAATGAGAACTACTAAAGAGATTGTCTTAAGAAACAAGATGGCAGGTAAAAGCCTAAACTTCAGAGAGGGAAAAATGTACACCTGTTGCCCACCATCACCTAATAAAAGTATCACAGACAATCTTTTGAGCCAGTACTTCATGTCAGATTGCAACAGTTTGCAATCCAATGTATTTAACTAAGACTGTTTGGAGAAATAGAAGCAAAAGACAAGCTGCACCTTCCAGATTGCAGTGTGATGCAGAACTGTATCTGCCATCCAAGTCTGCTAATCACCAAGAGCACAAGTCGCTGTTCTGTCCATGCCAGGCTCTGCTGGCAGTCAGACTGCTCAGACAGGGCAACAGTGTGGATGGGTTTGTTCCTGCATGACCATCAGGCAAGACAAGGTGCAGCCATGGGCCTTGGTAGAAGATATGGCCCTGTCAATTCACACGTGCTTTGGTTTCTCCTTAATCACAGCTAGTATGCCATTTCTCTTTGATAGTGGCTGTTAATTTTATAATTGAACAGTGGACTGCAGCTATAGTGGAAAGGGAAATAGTCTTCTGGAATTTAATAGCATAAATTGGAAATAAAAACACATCTCCAAATATTGCATTTTAAATAATGCTGTATTTCTTAGGAAAAAAAAAAAATTTCCAGATAAGAATGTAGTGTTTTTCTTAGACTTGCTAATTTTTGAAGTTGACTGATGCATGCTTAGGTTGCACATATTGAAACTGTTTGAGTATAAGAAAAGTTAATGGATTTCCAGGAGCTCTGTGTGAATATTTATTTAGCTTTTGCACCCCCCCATTTGAAGTGTGAGATCTATTTGCATTGTGCAAATCTGAATCACTTGCAGCTTTATTGGAAAATCTCCACTGCTTAAAAAAATCTGTTATGATAATTTAACTCATCAGCATGATAATGCTTTAGGAAATGAGGTCAGTTCAGATACAATAGGCTAAAGTTCAGCATGGATTCCAGTTTTTGTTGCTAATTGCAAATGCGTATGTTTTCTTTTTAAAATTCCTTTCCAGGGTTGTGATGCTAGTTTTAAACATCTCCTATTGGAGTGTGATTTTAAAAGAGTGGTAGTGTTTTGCTCAATGGCAATTTTTTTTAGTCTCGTGGTTCTTCTTGATATAGAAGTCTTACAAAGAAATATAAGAATGGGAAAGTAGATGCACTAGGCAGCATATAAAGGAGTATTTGATGAGCTCAGAGAGGGCATAGCAATAATAGCAATAAATGCTAGCAATAATCGGCAGCTGACAAAGCTCAGAAGCAGCTTGTCTCTGAAACAAAGATTGCAATTGTTAGGCAGCATTTGTTTAGGGGGCTAAGCCACTTATCCAACCTATTTCCATTAATTCATGTAATGCCAAGAAGAAAAATACTCCAGATACCTCTGAATAACTACTACAGCCCTAGAAAGCAGCCCAGTCTTTGAAATTATTTAAAAAATAACAACCAAAACAAGCAGCAGGGGAGAAAATGCAGAGTATGGCAAGAGAGTAAGATGTTGACCTGTATTTGAACATTGGAGGAGTACCCAGAGGACTGGGACTGAAGATGGAGAGTAAGTTATCACGGACATTCTCTGGAATGATATCCAATAAATCATGACATGGAGAAGGCTGTAGGTTGCACTTGAGCCTTCTATCCAGTTCCAGCAGCGACCTCAGATAATTTGCTGGTGCACAATGCATCTCAACTCCCTGCTGCAGATCCTTGCTTCACAGTGATGGCTGGATTTAATTTACTGACTATACATGTAGTGCCTGCAGGGTTGGTGGGGCTGCAGACTACTGTGATCACCTGAATATGTAATTGCGTGAAAAAAAAGAAGGAAGTGGATTTCATTTTCCACAAGGTGCACTTTCCACTTTCGCAAATAACAAAAGTGGATGCAAAAGTAGCAGGAATGTACATTAAACTAGCCAAGAATGAAGTGGATGGAAAAAAATCACCACGAGGGCATTTTAATTGGTGACTAGAAGAATGTTGTCCTAATGTGTACTTCCTACAGGAGGACATCCATTGTTTTGTTTCAGACCAGAAATTTCAAATTTCAGAGGACACAGAACAGCTCCAAAAATTTTAGAGCTGCTTTTTTTTTTCTTTTTTTTTTTGTCCTGAGTGTCACATTTGTAGTACAGTCAAAATACATCTTTACACACACATATAATATACCGCCTACATATATATCATACAACACAGCAAGATGTATCAGTTAGTGATCATGAAGTGACCTGGAAAATGGGATTTTTAGATATTAAAATGATTGTACAAGAAGGTGAAGAGAAGAAATACTCCATGAACAGCATAAGCATACAGCGATAGATGGAAGACAGGGCTAAAATGGGAAAGTCACTCTAAGAGACAGTTGGACTTTGCCACTCTGACATTTCATCTAATGGAGGTGAGAAGAGAGAGTCAGAAACTGGTAGCAAAGAAAAAGTAGGAAGACTAAGATGAGGAAAAATGGAATAGGTATTGCTGTCATCAGGCAGTCTTAAAATAGATTTTGGATAGACAAGAGATGTGCAGGAGGCGGGAGTAGTAACAGAAAAGAAAGAAGAGCTAATTACTATGTATCTTCAAACCAGATCCAACCTCTTCTCTCTCAGTTTTCTGGCACCTGAAATAACACCTGATAATCTGGCTTCCGTCGTTTAACACTGCATTCTCCTGAAATCAGGGAGGAAAAAGTGTTTTTATAGTCTCCAACATTCTTTAACAAAAAGAAAAAAGGAAAAAAAAAAAAAAAAAAAAGGAAATAGGTCAGATATATTTACTATTCCAAGGTTGGATTTTGGTGCAGTTCTGTACTCAGAGATTTGAATTAACATCACTGTTGGGACGTTAGACATGCTCTAAAGCTCTGCATTTAGTTGCATCATCTGATGCTTTGGCAAATTCTCATGGACTCATGAAGTAGCTGATAGATGTAACACCTCAGGCGGTCACTTTACACGCAACGATAAACCCGCTGTTGTGCTTAATGAGGTCAGTGAAGCATCCAGAGAAGACACACATAGTACTGCGGCGTGGGTCTGCACTGCCTGGGCTTTTTAGGCTTAATGAAGCCGATTCTCAGTGGCTGGGTATTCTTGTTGAACAGTCTCAGTGCGGATTTTAAAACTAGCATTGCTGAAATGGATGTTCTTCCATTCTCCTTGGAACACTGTGGCTCCTCCTCTTCTACAAAGTCTCGTATGTGTTAACGGTTTTGACATCAACCATTTGCCTCATTTTCATTTTAAATGAGGAGCAGAGTCCTGTTGTTTTTCTTGCCTGTTCTCCGAATGCTACATCCACTGTAAGCTCGCTCATAGCCTGCAGCTTCCCCTCTAGGTTGTACACAGTCTGAAAATCCCGACAGGAATCCCACGCAACGTGCACGTAGACCGACGCTTTCCTATTTCTAAGAATCCAAGTGCCCACGGGAAAAGCTGCATCCTAGCGTCCCTGCCACATCCTCGCACATCACACGGACTGCCCGTCACAGTCTCCCGTTCAGGAGGCTGCAGGGAGCGGTGCCATTTGCTCACATTACAGGATTTCTTTTAAAGGAAACACTTTCGTTTAAAGAGTGAATGAGCTTTTAGTTTTTGAAGGTGTTGCTTCCCACTGCGGTGCGGTACAAATAGGAGCGGTGCCTGAGGCTGAACGTTTTCAGCGAGGATCAGAGGCAGCGCAGACAGGAACGTGCCCAGTTGCAGCGTGACTGTCACGGGGTAATCCACGGCAGTCTGGCTCAGTGGCCCGCGTCCCGAAGCCGTGTTCAGAGCCTTCTCCGCACGCAGGCAGTCAATCTGCCCGCACGTGCAGGCACGCAGCCTCCTCGCTGTACACCTGCGAGCGGCGACACACGAGGCACCGAGAGTTTCACTGCCCAAGCACCTCTGTGCTGACGAGCAGTCACCACTTGCTTCCCGGCTGCCACCCGGACATCGCATAAAATACACTCTAAGCGATTGGGAAAGGAGCAGAGAGGAGGCCGTGATTTCCACCGCACCGCGTGGCACGGGTCACCCCTGCACGCTGTTTCGGCGGCTCCGCTTGACAGCGCCGGCTGCGGGCAGCAGTGCCGCGCTCCGGGAGGCCGTCCGGGGTTCTGGGGGGGCGGCCGCTTCCCCTCGCACAGCTTCCCCTCCTCGCACGGCTCCCAGCGCGGCCGGGACAGCCTCCAGGTGCAGGGCACGCACGGCAGAGGTTGTGCGCTCCTTGCAGCGCTCGGGTGGGGAGAAGAGGGAGAAGGGCTCAGCCCCCTGAGCACAGAGGTAAAGAGCAAAGCCGAGATCACGCTCGCTGCCGGCTGCGGTTCGACGGGGTCGGGGGTCAGCGCGGCGGAGAGCGGCGGGCGGGGACGTGGCGTGACCGCCGCCCCCCGCTCCCTCCGCAGATGTGCGCCCGGCGCGGCGGCCGCCCTCCGCTATGAC